GGAAAAACCCGGGATAACCATGATGGGCGGGCGATATGACGAGTGTACCGGCCTACATCATCGTGTCCGAATCGTAGACCAGTGATTAAGCAGAACTCCTTCCGCCCAAAACAAGTTTACGCTGGTGGAAAATGAAACCATATCTCTTCCTCACCACGTTGTATACTGTCGGGTAGATTTGATGTCATGGTCTGAAGCCACAAATGGGTCAAATTAGCATCTCCACCCGGATGCTGTACTCTCAGCCATGGCCCGAAGCAGGTTTCCTCAAACAATTGTCTTTGTGCAGGTGAAAGCTTCGAAGCAATTGTAGTGGCTAGGCTAACTTTATTCCTTAATGTCAATGAAGCCGAAAAAAATTTCTACAAAAACAATAAACATACCAAGTTAGATATACCAAAAACTACACTGTGAAGATATACCAAAAACAATAAACATAAAAAGTAGTAGTTTATTCTTGAAACTAAAATTTGCAACACTGTTTTGTCTTTTGGTTGAAATGAAAATCGTAACGAGAGAATGACTATCGCAACGAGAGAAATGAAAATCGCAACGAGAGAATCGCAACGCGAAATGAAAATCGCAACGAGAGAATCGCAACGCGAAATGAAAATCGCAATGCGATTTTGGTTTCGCGTTGCGATTTTCATTTCGCGTTGCGATTTTCATTTCTCTCGTTGCAGATAGTCATTTTCGCGTTGCGATTTTCATTTCTCTCGTTGCGACTCTTCTGCAAATTGAAACTTGAATGAATTGCATTACTTCAACCAAAAGACAGAACAAAGACAAAGACAAATACTAACTTGAAAATCGCAACGAGAGAATAGCAACGCGAAATGAAAATCGCAACGAGAGAATCGCAACACGAAATGAAATCTAAGTGAAATGGTTAATCTATCCAGTAAACTTATCATCAGTTTCAATATGAAAAACCTACAATAATGCAAAAATTTCAAAATAAAAATAATTAAAAAAACTAACCCTCGGAGGTTGATTTTCCATTTCTGAATATTGTGAGGGATTTCTGACCGTGAATGGTTGTGAGGGATTTCGCCGGAGATGGGGACGGAAATCTTCGGAGATGGGGACGGATTTCGTCGTAGAGAGTGAGAGATGGAGATGGGACTGAGTTGTGATTTTAGGTTTTAGGTTATGAGTTGCGATTACGAGATTTTGTCTTAATATTCGTTTTTGTAATTTGAAAATAAAATACGCGTAGCGATTATAATGGCGCTTTAAAAATCGCGTTGCGATTTACGGATACGCGTTTCGATTTTACGTATTGTCGTTGCGATTTACGGATACGCGTTGCGATTTACGGATACGCATTGCGATTTACGGATACGCGTTGCGATTTACGGATACGCATTGCGATTTACGGATACGCGTTGCGATTTACGGATACACGTTGCGGTTTACGGATACGCATTGCGATTTATGTGTTCACGTTGCGATTTTCATATTCGCGTTGCGATTCTGGAAAATCGCAATGCGAATTTGTACTATCGCATTGCGATTTTCAAGAATCGCGTTGCGATTTTGGAAACTGATTTGCGATTCTGGGGATCGCGTTGCGATTTTTATTTCGTGTTGCGATTTTGTTGGTCATTTTGGCAAATCCAAAAAAAGTTGGTTAAAATCGTATATTATAAGGCATTTTTGGTCACTGAGGCGATTTTCTCTATACTATATAGTATATATAGTTTATATATATAATATATAGTATATAAATATAAACTATAGTATATAAATATCAACTATAGTATATATATATATAGGTCATATGTAAACTATATAGTTTATATATATAGTTCATATGTAAACTATAGTTCATATGTAAATATTAACGATAGTTTATATGTAAACTATAGTTCATATATAAATATTAACCTTAGTATATATATATATTTATATATATAATTCATATGTAAACTATAGTTCATATATATAGTATATAAATATAAATTATAGTATGTAGTTTATATAAATATAAACCCTAAACCATAAGCCACACACATATATATAAACTATATAATTTATATTAATAAACTATATAATTTATACAATATATATTATTTAAATATAAATATAAATTGTATAGTTTATATATAATTCTTATATAATTTATATATAAACTATGTAGTTTCTATATAGTTCAATAGTTCATATATAAACTATATAGTATTATAGTTTATACATGGTATATATAGTTTATGCTTTATACATAATATATATATAAACTATATAGTTTATATATATAATATATATACTTTATATATAAACTATATAGTTTATATTATATATATATATATATATATTAGTTGTTTTAATTTTTTTTCTCAACTTATTACTTATTTATATTTATTAATTGGCCCATAACTTTTTAAATGAGTATAATTTAGTACTTTTTTGTATTAATTTCAACCTCAAAATTTTAAATTATTTTGATTTGATCCTTTTTGTGTTGTTTAATATATTTAAATTTTTATTTGTAATTTCATATTTGTTCAATTTAGTCCTCCAAATTTTATTTGCATCTGAAATTGACCCATACTTATTACTTATTTCTATTTTTAAATTGACCTATAACTTTTTAAATGGGTATAATTTAGTACTTTTTTGTATTAATTTCAACATCACAATTTAAAATTAGTTCGATTTGATCCCTCATCAATGTGTGTTGTTTAATTTATTTAAATTTTTATTTGTAATTTCATATTTGTTCAATTTAGTCCTCCAAATTTTATTTGCATATGATATTGATCCATACTTATTACTTAATTCTATTTTTTAATTGGCCCAAAACTTTTTAAATGTGTATAATTTAGTACTTTTTTGTATTAATTTCATCCTCATAATTTAAAATTATTTCGATTTGATCCCTCATCAATGTGTGCTTTTTAATTTATTTAAATTTTTATTTATAATTTCATATTTGTTCACTTTAATTCTTAAATTTGTATTTTTCATAAAATTGAACCATGATTATTTATATTCTTAGTAATTTACTCTAAATCATATACAATTACAAATTACAATTCAACGTTTGCGAAAGACGAAAATAATTAATCCAAAAATAAAAAATAACCCGATTTGAACTCAATCCGTATCTGGTAGAGATCCGACCTAAATTTTATTTGCCAATGATGTTACCCGATCTGAACGAGATCCGCCTGAAGTCCATGCGAACCCGAATTAACCTGCTTTTTAACTGCTTCGGACCTGAACTGTTTTGACTTGACCTGGCAACAATTCAAACTGAAAATGACCTGACCTGAACCCGATCTGGATCTGGTGTCAAATCAACCTGAAAATAACCTGAACTGATTTGACCAGACCTGAACCCGATCTGGATCTGGTCTCAAATTTACCTGACTTGACCTGTATCCGATTTTACCCGACTTACCAGGATCCGACTAAAACCTGAACGATTACCCGGTTTTACGACCCTAGTTTCAACCGCAGAACTCCACCATGTGTCCAAGCTCCAGGGCTAGAAATTGATGTAGTGAAGAGTGCACGTACATATTAATGGAAGTTGACCTCGTACAAGATTTATGATTTTGCACCTTTGAGAATTATTGCTAGTAATAAACTTTCTGTTGCGGTGTTTTCCATTTATAAAAGTTCTCTACCAATTAAGTCACTGTACTCTTATCACCATACATCCCTCTTTAGATTACATAACTAAGGGTGAATGTTTTAATCGAGTCAGATTCGAGTAAAAAAATAAATTATTTGAATTGATGAGTTATATTTTATGATTTAAATTTTATTTAAATTTTTTAGCCGAGTCGAGTTATTCGAGTTTCTATACAAATTTAATTATAATTATTTATAATATTATGGTATAAATTGATTACGATTGATCGACTTTCTCTAACCATTTATATATGTATTCATATTCTTTTTCACATTTTAATATTATTTAATAAATCGAATACAATTTAAAATTATAAAATATATTTACAATATTATTTCAAAGAAAATATTTTGAGGATAAATTATTGATTAGAGTATAAAGGAATCAAGGAATTGATGGAAAAAAGAATTTGTTAAAAATTACAGTCAAAAGATCAAATTAAATAAAATACAAAGTTAAAAGATTAAAAAATTGGAAAAAATAAATTTATAGTTAAAATAGAAATTAAAGTTACATATTTATTCTATAGTGGTAGAGAAACATGTGATTCTGATAAATAATTTGATCAATAAAACTTTAAAAATTGTGATATTTAATTTGGTCAATTAAAAGTTTATTGAATGGTCACAGTGGTTAAAGAAAGTGTTGTTATCTCTAAAGGTCTTGGATTCGAATAGTTGCGCCTGTGGGTTGTGTACACATTGTCAATAGTTAATTTTTCTTTAAACAAATATTATCATATAATCACTCTTAGACGACTATTAAAAAAATACAACATAATCATCATTAATTCTATAGGTAAATTCATAACAATTAAACCACCCAAAAGGTGGTTCGAATATACATGTCTATAAACTAAATATATCAATGGGTTGTTTACGATAAAAAATGATTACACTAATTTATTCTAGCTAGTGTTAGGAAGTGACTACAAATGCCAATATACACATGAAAGAATGCATTATTATTCATCTCAGTTGACAGCCTCCTCATAACCGAACATAACCGCCTCCTCATGCACGTGTTTTACAGCAGTCTAACATTCCCCCTACTCTTCCTTTTCTCCTCTTGACAACAACCTAACATTCCCTCTACTTTTCTTCTTCTGTTCTTCTGACCTTGAACATATTATTACAGCAAGTTCTAAAAACTAATTACAACTAATTTCTAACATTCAACCTTCTTGATGAAAAAATGAACAATTGAATCGAAAGTGTTGATGCTTCCTTCCGTTCACTTGAATCGAAAGTGCCGATGCTTCCTTTCGTTCTTCTTGAATCGAAAGTGTCGATGCTTCCTTTTGTTCACTTGAATCGAAAGTGCCGATGCTTACTTTCGTTCTTCTTATTCACCTTCATTTCTTTCTTCTTCATCCTCTTTTACGAGGTTCCTTGACATATATTTTTTCCTTGGACACTTGGTTGTGCAGCTTTCAAGTCTCATGACACCTTGGAAATCCACATCTGCTGGAAGGTGCTAAGTGATGCCACATGCCATGATTCTCATTTCTTTTAGCTTCAGCAGAAATGTTACGCTGAGTTGGATCATGGAAATGCATAACTCCAATATTCCAAGGAGTTGATGCTGTTGTTGACATATGTAGAGCAGGATTTTCAGCGGGCGGTCGAGGCCTTTTGTTCTTAGTTGCATTCGGTTGAGCTAGAGCCAGTGGAATTGGAGCAACAAAGGGTTCTATCTCCCATGGTGAAACCCTATCAGGCCTCTGAATAGAGGTAGGCTCATCCCATTGTACCTTCAATGAACGCCATTTTGAATCTTTCCAGTGAGGAGAAAAGTCTTCAACTCCAACAATTGTTCCAGAAAACCTTCTCTCATGAGAATCTTCCCCTTCACATCTTATCTTAAATCTCATGCCAACTGCAAACTTACTATTAAGGGCATCTAAATATTTGTTCAACCCAATGATGAACTGACTTGTCCTTGGCTTATAGTAGACAACAAAGAGGGACTGAGTTGAAGCAGCATGAGATGTAGTTGCAAGCACTCCTAAGTGCATATTCTGACTTGATATCACTGACGACGTCATGTTGCTCTGTTGGCGAACTACACACCTAACTCCGACACGAAGCTCCCCATTCTCTCCTCTTAGGAACACAAAGGAACCACCAGCGACTAATCGCTTTGAAGTTACAAATGTACTCCATCCTGTTGTCAACAAATGCCTCCTTGGTTGGCCTCTGAATATATGCTTAAAGCGCCACTCATAACCATGAAGATCCTTTGCAACCAATTCCTGGGTTGGCGTTGCCTGGTTCATGTCCAGTGGAGGAAGGCATTCAGTGGCATGTTTTCGAACAGAAAACCCTCCATGGGTGCTTGTATCTGAGGCTGTTAAAACCTTGCAGAATGAGTGGACGGTAGGTCTTTGAGACTCAAGAGTGCATTCATCAGGAGTTGTTGGCTCAGGTTGATTCGGTTCCGGCATATAAGTTCCATAACTCGATATACAGATCATCCCTTCCGTTTCCTTCAGAGGATACATTATTTGTCTGCGAAAACACTCCGACTCTATTCACCATTGAACTCTATCTAACTCACCGAGTCAAGAAACAGTAATAGTAGCAGAGCAGCAACCATTCTGTTGACTATATTCCAAAACACTTGAGGAAGCAGTATGAATTGAACTGGTCTGAGTGGCTCGGTCAGACAATTCAACAAACAGATTATAAGCGCAAGCGGAAAAAAATATTCACACAGCAAGCATAAACCAATCTGAGCAACACAGCATTAACGACGATGACAGAACATCCGAAACAACGATTTAGAGTAGTGAGATTCAAACTAACAAACCATTGAAGTTGATAAAGAAAGAGGAAATCGACAATTGAGAAGAAGAACAACGAAGATCCATATTCAGATCAGCAACCACATCCGTTAATCAAATAGAAACACCATACCAGAACTACTGAGAAACCACCGTCTACGCCAACAAGCACGATGAACTAACAAGAACGCCCTGAGTTACGCATTAAGAAAACAGGAGACTCCAGGAACTTATGGCGATTGATACCATGTTAGGAAGTGATTACAAATGCCAATATACACAGGAAAGAATGCATTATTATTCATCTCAGCTGATACATTACATTTATAAGAAAAGGTTAGGCTCATAAGCTCCCATTAACCGTCTAACAAACAAACTGCCCTAGCTAACCAAACTAACAGAATAACCGCCTCCTCATGCACGTGTATTACAGCAGTCTAACATTCCCCCTACTCTTCCTTTTCTCCTCTTGACAACAACCTAACAGCTAGTTATTAAAAAATCCGACTACTCAATTTACAACCCTATCATTATCTTTTGAACAAAATTCCATGATGAGTTTGGCAAAACTTAACTTTCTCCCTCTACTATAGCTTTCGGCTGTGGCTTCATTCCAGAAAAGTGATCATATTAAAAAAGAATGATAAAATTGATAGAAGAAAGAGACGACATTTCGGTTCTGATTGTGGAGGGCGACTCATGTTGTAAACATGTCAATACATTTTCTATTTTAAACTAAAATATCAATTCGTTTGGTAATAGATCTAGACTCGTGTTTGGTACTATATTCGAATGACTGATGGCACTGAAATACTCGCAGTGATAATGCTCCTCAACAATCCAAATTAACAAACATACGAATGAAATTATTCAAACGTTGAACTAACAAAATTCAATGGTACACATATACTTTGTTATACTACTTGCACTTTATAAATGTAAGCATGTTATGTAGTATATGTAAAGAGACATAAGTATATAAGATATCAATGACACCTTTTTTTTTACATAAACTAATATTCACATGTTGGAATTCATAACCACATGTTGATCCTCAATATTCACAACTATCAACCCATATAGACATCAAGTACAATTTCACACCATAGCACATATAACACAATTCGACACCAATATCGCATAGCATTAGTTATTTATAAAGAGGGAATATCAACATCACCTAATATCGTTAATGGTTTTCGCCACACAAGTATATGTGGCTGTATGGTCTCACATAACGTCAAATATAATGGTGAAATATTGGTTTCACATAATCTTAATGATAATTTCTATTATAGCTTCGAGATAAGGTTATCTGATTTCACATATCGTTGGACTAAATATGTATAAGTAAATAAATAATACAACACACATTTAGACAAGCACCACAATGATATTCACCATATTAACCACACATGGAAGATTCAAACTTTACATTACAAATAATGATTCACAACGATCGAGTGAGAACACTTCCTCTCACTTTGAATCGTAACTTATTCTATTCTCTAGAAAGAACTAAGTAAGGCACAAGTAGTTATTAAAGGCTTATGACTTCGTGATTATCACTCCGCTTTCATGCCAATACACATTAGGCTTTGGAGTGGATCACCCACATTCAATCCCTATACTTACCAATCTTGATACTTAGGGGGTGTTTGGTTCAAGGATTGTGAGATTCTCATGGGATGGGAATCCCACATTCCCATGTTTGGTTGGCCGGGAATCTCATTCCCGGTAATGTTTTATTACCAATAGTAGATTTTTTGGGGTATATTACCGGGAATGTCATTACCTCCATTCCCTTAGGTATTGTAACATTACCGGCATTTTGGACTAAAATTCCCTTAAATTTTTATTTTTTTTCCAAAAATATCCTTCTTCTGTCATTGAATAATAAAAATTCTACGAAGGTTAAATTATAAATTTATCCTTAAATTATTTTAGATTTAAAAAAAATGTCTATAATTAAAATTTTATATTAAGTTCAGAGGTTAAAATTTTTTTTACCCTTTTATTAAACCTTTTTTATATTTTTAATTTTGTAAAAAAAAAATATATAAATATTATGAATTTAATTTTTTAAAGAAAATATATAAATATTTTACAATTTGTAATATTATACAAATATATAATAAGGACAATTTGGTCAAATATACATTCCAATAATCTTTTATTCCTTTAACCAAACACGGTAATCTTACATTCCTGCTAAACCAACCAAACACAAAATACAACATTCCCAATAATCATATTCACTGGTAATCTTTTATTCCCACTGGTAATCTTACATTCCGTGAACCAAACGCACCCTTAAGGGTATGTTTCGTACTTTCTTACTCTCATTGTACCTTAGTTCACAATAGCATCAAAACGCCTTCTATAGGCTCAATCATTGGTAACAAACTCTACCTTGGTCCTGCATTCGAATTGGAAGTCAATTTACGATTTTTGAAGCATGGAATATCGATATCAAACAGAGGATATCGATACACATCTAAAGTATCAGTACCAAATTTAGGCTCAATATTTTAATATTTCCTAAGGGTATCGATACCTCATGCGAGTATCGATACTCATCCATTGGATATCGATACTCAACTTCGAAGTTTAAATAAAATATCTTGATATCGAGACCCAACTTTTGGTATAGATACCACAAGAACGATACTAACGATCATGTGTCACATGTCACTTGTAATACGCGTCACAATAATATGTTTACATGTGTCACCACCTAATTGAATGATTAATTTATTAAATTAAATTAAAATTAGGACCGTCTTGATATAATATATAAGTATTGACAATCAAATATGTAATTATAGTAATTTTAACTACCACATCAACACTTTCGTTAAATATTAATGGCAAATAACTTGATTGACACACTTAAATAATTAAGTGATATGAGTAACAAAATTTTAAAATCGATGGTCAAAATAAAAAGGGAAAATTAAATAGTCATACAAATAATTTACCTAAAAATAAATACACGCATTTCTTGCCATAAATGATAAACTCGAAACCTCTCCACTGCATAGTTAGCGTTGTTTCCTTTTCATTGTTAATTGTCAGAAAGAATTTCGTGGGAAAAGCTTTTGTGAGGAAAAAATGGAATCTAGTAACGATCTCAAATGGAGGAAGCAATCTCTCAAACCGATTGAAACAATGAGTTCATTAGCAAGCAAATTAGTAACAGAAGAGAATGAGAATAGTAAAAAAAACAGCTGGAGAAGAGCCATTGAGCCCTTCATCTCGTCTCTTTCACGAACCAACCCTCAACCTTTATGTTATAGTCATCATGGATGGAAGACTAGAATTTACCCAGACATCGTGAAAGCCAACTTGGGTCATACTTTGCTTAGGCACCCTCGTTTTTCTAGTTTGCAGGTATCATAAACAAGTTTTTACTTATTTTTTTCTATTTCATTTTAATACACTAATATGGTAAAAATGTCAGGTGATTGATGAGAGAAATAAGGGAGAAATGAAATGGGTTAGAACCGAAGTGGATTTGGAAAAAACATGTTATCGTTCCAAATCTGGACTCGAACATTGATTCACCTGAAAAGTTCATCATTTACAAACTGAGCAAAACCGGCATCGACAAATCACAGCCTCTTTGGGACCTCCATTTGCTCAACTTAAGAACTTCAGAATCTGAGGCGGTTGGTATTTTAAGGGTCCATCACTCCCTCGGCGATGGCATTTCTCTTATGTCTCTTCTACTCGCTTGCACTCGCCAAACGAATGATCCTCTGGCGTTGCCTACTATCCCAGTCAAGAAGAAGCAAGAGGAGAAGGATGATGATAGATGGTTTTGGAGAATTATGTTCATGTTTTGGTCTTTGTTTCAGGTTTTTCGTAATACTTTGGTCGATGTTTTCATGATTATTGTCACGACATTGTTCTTGCAAGATACTCAGAATCCTCTCAAGGGTCCGCCTGGAGCATTGTTCAACCCTCGTCGAATTGTTTACAGGACAGTTAGCTTGGATGATATCAAGTTGGTGAAGAATGCAGTGAAAACTGTAAGTCCATGTGTTGCATTATGGAGAAAATCTCAGTTATTGCAGAAAAAAAATAATTAAATTTCAATCTGCAGACCATAAACGATGTTGCTTTGGGGTTTACACAGGCTGGTCTGTCCCGCTATATAAACAGAATACATGGTAAGATTTCTTACTACCATGTAGTTTATGGATGAAACGGGAAGGCTTGATTCTTTTTTTCACTTGTTAATAGTTGGAAATAACAAAGATGAGGGAGCAATAGAAAAGGATAAAAAGGATAATCTTCCCAAGAAAATTCGCCTCCGATCAACTTTGGTCTTCAACCTAATACAATCTGCAGGAATCAAGGTTTGTAGCTTTCGCTCAAATAATTAAGCAATTAACTTTTTCCCCTAACCTCTCTTGAATGTTAATGCATGCTAGGCTTTAGCTGATATGATGGAAAAGGATTCTGAAGCAAAGTGGGGCATTTGCGTTGGTTATGTTCTGCTCCCCTTCACCATCGCTTTGAGGGATGATCCATTAGATTATGTTCGTGATGCTAAGGCCACGATTGACAGAAAGAAACGCTCGTTTGAAGCTATATTCACTTCCACCATTGTTGAGTTAACATTGAAGCTTTTTGGCGTAAAGGTTAATTTCAGTCTTTTTAATTATTGTTAATCTTAGATCTTCCACTGGTTTCTTATCAGTTGGTATGTTTTCCAATGCTCAAAACAGACGGCCAGTGCTTTGTCCTATAGAATAATGTCTCGCACAACGGTGTGCTTCTTGTTGGACCTTTAGAGGAAATTGATTTTTATGGTCACCCCCTGGCTTTCCTTGCTCCTGGTGCTTATGG